CCCCTATTTCAACCCATAGAACTTCCAGAAGCGAATCCAATTCACTTAGCCTCTCAATCTTTCTAGACTTTATACCCTCTCTGACATACAGAGCTACCCCACCTCCAACCCTTCCCCCCCTATCCTTCCGATATAATATATAACCGGGAATCACCGTATCCCACTGATTTTCCTCATCCTACCAAGTTTCTGAAATACCCACAATGTCTATTTGTCCCTCCAACTCAAAGCACTCCAACTCCCCGATTTTACCTCGGACTCTTCTAGCATTTGTATAGAAACAGCTGTAATTTTCCATACAAGTTAAGCCTGCAACCTTCCTCTTGCTATCTCGAGACTTTGTCAGGCAGTCCATGTCTCCGTGGACAATTTCAATCCACTTCTCTGCAGAAAAGCAATAGGTACCCCCTCATCTCTCTGAGATGAACCAACCCGAACCAGAGACCTTTCATCTCTTGTCGGCTTTCCCCCAATATTCAGTTTAAAAACTGCTCTGCCACCTTTTTGATTTTAAGCGCCAGCAGCCTGGTTCCTTCTCGGGACAAGTGGAGACCGTCTCGCCTGTACAGCTCCCTCTTGTTCCAAAAAGCATCCCAGTGCCTAACAAACTTGAACCCTTCCCCCCTGCACCATCGTCTCATCCACACATTGAGACTCCTGATCTGTGCCTGTCTCTCCAGCCCTGCGCGTGGAACAGGTAGCACTTCTGAGAAAGCTACCTTGGAGGTCCTGGACCTAAGTTTCCTGCCCAGCAACCTAAATTTCTCCTCCAGGACCTCACGACTGCATTTCCCCACATCGTTGGTGCCGACATGCACCACGACCACTGGCTCCTCCCCAGCACTATCTACCAGCCTATCTAAAACACGCATAATGTCCGCTACCTTCACACCAGGCAGGCAAGTCACCATACGGTCAGTATATGGGTTCGCCACTGAGCTGTCTACCTGCTTAAGGATCGAATCACCAAGAGCCCCCCTCCCACCCTGCCCAGGGATGGTTCCTTGGTGCGAAAGGATACCCGCTCACCAGCTGGGGAAGAGGTCCCTTCTGAGGGCACATTCCTCTTATCCTCAGCACGGTGCCCTGTTTCTCCTTGACCCTCATGCTCCCTGACAGCGGCGGGGCTGCCAAATCCAGAGTGGGACATATCTATCAAGTCCCCGAGAGTCTTTTCTGTGCGCCTAACTGACTGTCTCTGCTTCTCCAGGTCAGCCACCTTGGCCTCAAGGGAGCAAACATGCTCCCTGAGAACCAGGAGCTCCTTGCACCGAGCACACACCCAAGACTTCTGTCCAGTGGGCAGATAGTCATATATGTGACACTCAGTTCAAAACACTGGATAGCCCCCAACCCCCTGCTTCCAAATTGAAGCTGAAGTGTTGCAGTTTCCATAACATTGGTAGCATCTTGAGCATATCCAGTGGGAATCCCAGATGTCTCCTGGGGAAAGCTGTACCATGAGACATCCAGACCTTTCCCTGGAGCTTGCTGAGATGCTGTGGTTGCTATGGCTGACATAACATCTTAGCCTCACCTGGGAGGATGGTGACTTTCATCAAACCAAAGTGCCCCCCTCCTTCAGCATAATGGGAGGGACAGCAAATATATACTACATGCCACAATTAAATTTCTAAATATTGTGGCAGTCTGGTTCGTGGGATTTGTAAAGCTCTGAGAGGCAGGGTAATTTTCAAAGAACTGTGAGTTGTGATTACAGAATTGATTCACCTCCCCTTTCTAGTTATGCAGCTCCCTCCCTGTGTCCACTGAAAGAACACTCCTAAGAGCTGAGTGGGCCCATGGAAATTATTGAGGTAACAGCACAAAAAGCAGGGACTGCAGCTGGAGGAGGAGAATCCACATAAATTACAGATTCCCTGATTATGCAAACAGAAGTGTTTTCCATTGGTGCAAAGATGCTTGATTTAGATCCACCCCAAAGTTTCTTGGTTTCCATCATTTCCTAGCTAAGATATTTTAAGATAAAAACAGATAGAATCATAGAACCACAGAGTTGGGAGGGACCTCCAGAGTCATGTAGTTCAAACCCCCTACACAATGCAGGAAATTCACTGCTGTTCTATGCCCAGAAGATGGCAAAAAACCTCCAGGATCTCCAGCCGAACTGGACTGGAGAAAAATTCCTTCCCCAAAGTGGCAATCAGCATTTCCCTGGGTATGTAAGAAAGGGCCACAAGAACTAGGCACTGATGCATCCCTTCCTGCCCTCCCTCTCATGATCTGCCTAAGTTCACAGAATCACCATTGCTGTCAGATGGCCATCTAGCCTCTGTTTGAAAACCTCCAAAGGAGAGCCTGCCACCTCCCAAGGAAGCCTTCTCCACTGAGGAACTGCTCTAACTATCAGAAAGTTCTTCCTAATGTGTAGCCGAAAACTCTTCTGATTTAATTTCCACCTGTTGGTTCTGCTCCGTCCTTCTGGGGCAACAGAAAACAACTCCATACCATCCTTTATATGACAGCCCTTCAAGTACTTGAAGATGGTTATCGTATCACCTCTCAGTCATCTCCCCTCCAGGCTAAACATACTGAGCTCCTTCAACCTTTTCTTCATTCCTTCAACCTTTCATTCATTTGCTACTACTATTAAATATTACAGCAAATGCAAGATTATATTCTGAAACTGAAAAATAAGTATTACTGTATGAGTCTCCAAAATGCATTGTCCGTTTTCAAGATCATTATACTCCAGTTATAAAATACATGGGTGTTTCTCTTTCACTATTTCCTCAGTCTATATTGGAGTATCAAATGCAATGTATGAGTCAATCAAATAAGCATTTTTCAGAGTACTTCATTCAGTTCATGGGCATTATTGTATAAAATGTGGCTTTCTCAGGAAACTTACTTTGCAGACAACTTAAAATATACTAACAAACATTTTAATCTCTTTTTCCTCCTCAGGGCAATTAAAGCATTTCGGGAGGTGCTTTATGTTGATCCCAGTTTTTGCCGCGCCAAGGAGATTCATTTACGACTTGGGCTTATGTTCAAAGTGAACACAGATTTCGAGTCTAGTTTAAAGGTAGGAGCTTAAATTTTATAATGATAAGCCAGCATTTTCTTCATTTGCATGTGCTTCATTTTTCACTATAAAAGAATATATAACTTTGGTTCACTGTAATTTGTTTTGTTGTTTGTGATTGTACTGGGATGAGACCAAGATTTAGTTATGAAATTCTAGGATCTGTCTTGCAAGCTCTGCAGTAAAATAAGTGAAACGTTTTAAGTTTACTTTCAAACTTCACCCCATGGAGAGAGGACTATAAAACTGTATTCATGAACTGTGGACCTTATCTTACCCTGAATACTTGTGCACAGATGTAAAGCCTTGCTCATTAGAATTGATTTAATTTAGTGCCTGAGGAGCCACTTTCCCTGGGCTCCCTAAATGCTCTGTAAGAACAACAGTAGTAGGTGCAGGACCCTGACCTGGATATAGGGGTGTGCAAGAAAAAAAAATAGACATTTTTCAGATTTGAGTATATCAGACCCCAAAAATATCAGTAAATACCAAATTTCCTGAGTACCGATACCGGTATAGAATTCAGACCTGGGAAATATTTGGTATTTCCAAATGTCTTTGGGTCTGTTATACCTACAGAGAGGAAAGGGAGAGCAAGAAGGCAGTTTTAAATGCCTTCCCTCCCGAAGCAGCCCAGCCACTTCCACCTGGTCAGTTTCACTCCCCAAGGGTCAGCTTTTAGGTTTAGACCATTTAAACCTAATAGCTGACTAGCAGAGGTGAGTGAAACTGACCAGTGGAAATGGCCCTGCGGCTGGGGAAGGAAGAGAGAGAAGGCATGTTTAAATGCCTCCCCTTTCCTCCCCCAGCCTCCCCATTGCAGCAGAGGGGGGCTGGAGAAGGAAAGAAACAGCGAAAAGGTACTTAAACATGCCTTTCCTTCCCCAGACACCCACTGTCATGCTGAAATGCCTATCAGCCATTAAACTGGTCAGTTTCACCCCCTTCACTTGGAAGTGGAGGGGAGTAAAACTGAGCAGTTTAATGGCTAAAAGAAGAAATTGGATTTATACCCCGCCCTTCACTACCCAAAGGAGTCTCAGAGTGGCTTACAATCTCCTTTCTCTTCCCCTCCCCGCAACTGAAACCCTGTGAAGTAGGTGGGGCTGAGAGAGCTCTTTCAAGAACTGCTGAGAGAACAGCTCTGAGAGAGCCATGACTGACCCAGGGTTACACCAGCAGGTGCATGTGGAGAAGTGGAGAATCAGGTCTTCCAGACTGGAGTCCACGCTTCTAACCACTACACCAAACTGGCTTTTGAAGGGAAGGGAAGGCATTTAAACATGCCTTCTCTCTCTCTGTGTCTTTCCTTCCCCAGCCGCCACCCCCTGCAGCAGGGAGGCTGGGGAAGGAGAGCGAAAGAGAGAGAAGGCATGTTTAAATGCCTTCCCTTTCCTTCTTCACCCTTCCCATCATGGGGGGGGGGGCTGGGGAAGGGAGGAGAGGAAGAGAAGACATGTTTTAATTCCATTCCTTCACCAGCCTCCCTGCTGTGGTGGGTGGCTGGGGAAGGAAAGGGAAAGCATTTAAACACGCCTTCTCTCTCTCTCTCTCCTTTCCCACCCCCCCTCACAGCGGGGCAGCTGGGGAAGAGGAGAGAGAGAGAGAAGGCATGTTTAAATGCTTTCCCTTTCCTTCCAGCCATTAAACTGGTCAGTTTCACTCCCCTCTGTTTTTTTCAGGCTCAGCTATATCAGGAGCCGAATACATGTCTTCAGCTTACATGATACCCGGAAAATACCGATAAGGTATTTTTCAGTTATTTATTCGGCTTGGTTTATGCTGAATGCACACAGCCCAGTATCATCAGAAGTTTACCATCTCGGAAGTTAAGCAGGGTTGGCCCAGACTACCAAGGGATATCAGGGTCACGACATGGCGGAAGGCAATGGCAAGCCACTTCTGAACATCTCTTGCCTTGAAAACCTCACGGGGTCACCATAAGTCAGCTGTGACTTGACAGCAAAAAGAGAGAGAGAGAGAGAGAGAGAGAGAGAGAGAGAGAGAGAGAGAGAAGTTGGACACCAAAGAGCAGGGAGGAGGCTTTAATACCTTGTGCCCCCATTGTATGTTTGTAAGCCCCATTCCTACCAAGAGATGATCTGGGAGCTGCATTCCATTTGGGCAGTGTGAGAAGCCCCACCTCCTGGAGACAGCTGCAGCCTCTACTTCAGCCTCTACTTCTTAGCGGTTCAGTTCTTGAAGGGACTACTTTCTCTGGGCTTGCTGTAAACTCATTAAGGGTAGCATTAACAGTGGTAGGGAGACCACAGAGCAATTTTTAAAAAGAATTCTGGTTTTCCCCACTGTTTTCAATTTATCCCCCTCCCTTCCCCTATTCTCTACTTCTCCTCCCTATATGTACTAGATTGTATCTTCTTGTGAGCAGTCGGGGATGAGTGGGGGAGACAGCAGACAAAGAACCTTTCTTCTCTTCCAGTGCATCTGACTCTTTTAATGTTTGTAGTGGTGTAGTGGTTAGTGTTGGACAAAGATCTGAGAGTCCCAGGTTCAAATCCCTGCTGTTACAGTGAAGCTTGCTGGGAGACCTTGAGCCAGTCACACACTCTCAGCATAGCCTGCCTTGTAGGGTTGTTGTGATGATAAAATACGTGAGAGGAGAATAACATAAACTGCCTTGAGTCCCCACTGGGGAGAAAGGCAGAGTATAAATGAAGTTAGTAAATATCCTGTTTTTCTTCTGCTATGGAATTCAAGGCAGGGTTCCCTTGGAGTATGCAGGGTTCCCAGGAGGTTTCTCATTCACACATTACCTGCTGGTCCTTTGCTGGTTTGGCCAATCCAGAACATGTGGCACTAGCACAGAGCACAAGAAATATGGAAGGGGATAAGGGAAGCCTTTTGTTACTTAGATTATTTAGTCTTCACTGATCTCTATGAACTTGACAGCCAGATGCCAAAATAACAATCTGAACTTATTAATGGATCTGAAGGGGGTACTTGGGGGGGAGTTACCCAGCGGCACCCACTAGAATGTGATGTCCTGCAGGGTACAATCCTCTCCCCCATGCTGTTCAATATCTATATGTGCCCCCTTGCCAGGTACTTCAATAACTCAGCATCGACAGCAGGTCCTTAAACAGGTTCAGCTTTATTGATCAGAGCAAGGTGAAGTCATCTTAGACTCTTTGAGTCAGGAATGAGGCATACAAAATGGCTATAGTAATTATAGTGGGTTTATACAACACCCCCTGACACCTAGGAGCCAATAAGCAATTAATGTGGAGCACAGGGAACTGGTTAACTGTTCAGAGGTGAGCAGGAGACAGCAGAGGCTTTGCGCCAAAGCAATGAGCGCTCAAGGCCAACGGCTAGATAAGAGAGGCAGAAGCGAGAAACAGCTGCAGAGCATTACACATACCAGAGTCAGGGGAAAACACCATGGCAGGGCTACCTGACATCCCGCCCCCCGCCCCCGGCTTGTCGGGGAAGCGAGAGTGGAAGAGGCGGACCAAGCAAGGAGCCCGCACATCAGAGGCCTTAACCCATTCCATGTGTTCAGGGCCAAAATCTATCAATTCCACAAGATAATACAAGCAGTTATGTTTAAGGTGAGAGTCCAAGTTCTGGGCAATTTCAAAATGCAGCTGTCCATCCACCATCATGGGAGGGGGGGCTGGGCCCGTGCTGGGCACCAGACGTTCGGCCCCGGATCCTTCCTGAGAAAAGTGAAACACAGGATGGACATGTTTAAAAATCTTAGGAAGGTCCAGTCCAACAGTGATGTCATTGATTTTCCGCACGACAGTGAAAGGACCAATGAATTTCCAACCCAATTTACGGCTAGGTTGTAAGAGTCTCAGATTCTTAGTGGAGACGTACACCCTGTCCCCAACCTGCAGCTCCCAAGCCGGGAGACATTTACGGTACGCCTGTGCTTTATAAGTAGCTTTGGCTTTGTCCAATGTCTGCTGTAGGAGCGGCCAGGCATTTTTAACATGGCGCTGCCAGTCCTCAATGCTCCCCTCCCCCGGTGCATCCTTGGGAACCAGGGAAGGGGGAAGCCTTCGTAGCCATGCACCACTTGAAATGGGGAGACCCCCGTGAACAAATGAACCACGTTATTGCAGCAATACTCTGTGTAAGGGAGCAACTCCACCCAGTCGTCCTGTTGAAAATTAGTAAAACAATGCAAGAATTGTTTGAGAGTTTGATTAACCCGTTTGGTCGTCGGTTTCTGGGTGGTAGGCACTGCTGAGGGCCCGTTCAACTCCCAGGGCCTTCAGCAATTCACCCCACAACTTAGCCACGAATTGAGACCCCCCTGGTCAGAGACCACCTTCTTCGGGATCGAATGGAGTTTGACAATATTATACATAAACAGCTTAGCCAACTTCTTGGCAGTAGGCAATTGCTTCAGAGGGAAAATATATGCTTGCTTAGAAAACATGTCCAAAACCACACAAATGACCGTCTTCCCCCCACTAGGGGCAAATCCATGATGAAGTCCATAGACAACTTCCCACGGCCAGGTAGGAGTTGGCAGTGGTTGCAATAGTCCCGGAGGCTTTCCTGGTTGGGGGTTTACACATGAGGCAAGTGGGGCAGGACTGTACATACAAGAAAATGTCTTTTCTCATGCCCGCCCATCAAAACTGCCTTTATAAAAGATACAACATCTTTAGGTAGCTAAGATGACCCGCCAGTTTAGAACCATGAACTACTGCCATCACCTGGCTGCGCAGGGTTCTGGGAACGAAGAGGCAATGGTCCTTATACTAGCAACCATCCTGCCTCTGTTCGAGACCCCCGTCCAACTCAATTTCCGAACGATCAGAGTCAGAAAAGGCTGAGGCAAATTTGGTGGCCCAGTCCCTCCTTCCAGTGTCCTTTTCCACTTTTGCCTTACTACGTGTGACAAGGGAACATCGAGTCCACCACTCCCTCCCTCTGACTGTTGCATTGTGGGAAGCGCAAAAGAGCATCAGCTAAGGAATTTGCCTTCCCCGGGAAGTGGTGAAGTGTGAATTGAAACTTGGAAAAGAAATCAGCTGCTTGGCATTAAGATTACGGGGTGTGCGTAGAACTTCGAGGTTTTTGTGATCAGTCGAAACCTCCAACGACACCCTTGCACCTTCTAACCAATGTCTCCAAATGGATAGGGCGAGCCGGATGGCTCCAGCCTCCTATCCCAAACAGCCAAATTGTGCTCCGTGGCATTAAATTTCCGTGAGACATAGGCCAAGGGGTGCAGTTTACCATCCTCCCCCTCTTGTAGGATAGCCCCCCGCATCGCCACATTCAGCACGTCCACGTGCACAATTAATTCTTTGTTTTCATCTGGATGGGTCAACACAGGTTCGGATGTGAATAAAGATTTAAGTTTGTCAAAAGCCACTTGACATTCTGAGGTCCACGGCACCTGAGCACCAGGCTTTGTGCTTTATGGTCCCTTCCCCTTATTTTTTAACAAGTCAGTGAGGGGAAGGCTGACCCAGGCGAAATTGGTGATAAAATTTCGATAAAAATGTGAAAATCCAAGGAAGGATTGAAGTTGCCTCCTAGTGCGAGGGCTTCCCACCCCAGGACATCCCGCACTTTCGCCGGATCCATTTCTAACCCCATAGGGGATATGCGGTAACCCAAAAAGTCTATTTCCCTTTTGTGGCACTCACATTTGGACAGCTTGGCAAACAGCTTATGCTTGTACAAAGTCTAAATAATACCTGAAAAATAGCAGTAAGTTATTTTTCATGGGGGGGGGTTGGCTCAGTTTATGTCGAATGCACACCCCTAGTTATTTATTTCTTTAATATCCAAATGTACATAATGCCCATCTGAATTCTCCTCAAAATCTTGGCTATGGTAAAATTTCACTGGCATTTTCTTTCACCTTTTCATTGCACAATTAATATTGACTTGTGTTCAACAAAGTTATTACCCTAACATCTTCTCTGTAGTTACATGATTGGAATATTGCAGTACGAGAAGAACATTGGTCTGTGCTCATTGGAGACCAAATCTGTTCCATTCATAATATGCAAATAAAGTGCTTTGCTCACCTTTTTTGTCCTGTTCATTTAGTCGGTTTTCCTGTTTTGATTGTGCATGGAAGGGAGTGTTTGTGCCTTACAATCCTCCTTTTAAAAAAAAAAAAAAAGATGAATTCCGATTTTGAAGGACTCTAGAGAGTAAACTAATGAGTTGATTTAGCAGCGTGTGCTGCACATCCTCCCACCCTTGCCCTCAGCATGCCTGTCAGATGGAGCCTTGGCTGTCTGCCAGCATTTTGATTACGCAAGGCTTTCCGTGTCCTAGTTATCGAAACAAAAGACTGTTCTCAGGATCAGGCATCACACCTAGTTCACACAGTTAGAAAAACAATTTCTGAGAGTTGAACTCAACTGGGATAAGACTTTTCCATTGTGGTAAGTTCATGTCAAAATTGTCAGGTTTCTAAAGTTTTTTTATATATATAATGAAATGCAGACTTCTTGAACTATTATTGGGAAACAGGAAAATAAAATTCCAGCGCATCCATGTAGTTGATGTGGACTTAGAAAAGTGTCTGGAAAGCATTCTGAATTAACTTCTGCTGCTATATGAATGATATTTTTGAAGTATCTTGAAATGAAGTTGCAGAATTATAGAATAACTGAGAATCATTCTAGCCCTGAGCAGCTTGTTAAGCATGTGCAGTGCCAAAGAGATTGTTTGTCTACATATGGGAATGTTAGCGTCTTAGATACTCAAGCATTGCACAGTCATTCTCTGTAAAGGTCACATCAGCAACTTTTGCCACAATCATATCAGCAGTCAAATGCTTTGACAAAGAATAATTTTGTGATTAAATATAAAATCCTAGTTCCTTACAAATCAAACTCTGTTGTTATCTTTGGTTGCTGTGCTAGACACTACTATTTTGAAGTATTCTGATTTCCTAGTTAAATCTTCTTACTCATGATTTGAATTTCTGTGGATGGATGTCTGCCTCGAGGTATTGTGTGTCATCTCTAAACTGCAGTGGCTTCTCCTGCATAATAACTATTTCACACAGCAGTAGCCAGCTTCAGTGCTGCAATATTTGTAGGAGGTGCAGATGTTTGCTAGCTTTGCTGCAGAGATTTGAAGCTGAATATTTAATGTGGTGTTTTTGTAGCTTATAATGCTGGAAACAATAGATATTTGGTTGAATTTTGACAAAGAACTTTTGTTCATTTTTACTATTAAATACCTCAGAAGGCGAATCTGTTCTAAATCGAGCTGGCTTTCGAGGATTGTTCTACATACATATGATTGTTCGTTTGCGGATGTGTGCCCAGACAAGAATAGGTGTTTTATTAGTAGCATTACCCACATTCATGTCTTTGGTTGGCTGCATAGTTTTACTATGTGCTATATTAAAGGATCTTGGAAAACATTTACATTTTGTAATTCTTGGTGTTTTGGGATTTTGGAATTGTATGCAACAAAATGGTGTGGTAAGATTTATTAATTAATAGAATATTCTTGTTTAGAAATGGGTTTGTTTGTGCATTTTATTAGTACCACTCACTATAGAAATATTAAGAAGCCATCTTTAATTCTAACTTCATCTAGATGTTTAGTAGCACTAGTTATTGACTGATCTTGTATTGGCAAGATTAAAAGTTTAAAGATATATATATCTTTAAAAGAAATAATACAAAGTAGTCTTGTTAGAGATTTATTTTTAGCGTTGAGATTATTAACAAGGAATGAAGCTGTTTGTGCATGAATAGATTTCTGTTGTTTTTGTAAGACTGTCAAAATACATTGGTTTCTGTAACACCTTTAAAAAATCTTAATTTGCATTTTTGTAGATTACCTTGATAGATCAGCATGTTAATAATATGTAACGAAAACTTTTTAAATACCTGATGGTAGTGTTTCATTTATATGACAGAAGTGCGGGCATGCTTACAGTATAAAATATTAGCAAGTTATAATTTTGATAGAGTAAGTGAATATAAGTTACTTACCCTGAACCTTAAATTATGTTTGCATGTAATAAGTTGCTCCTGTTGACTTGTTTTGAAGATGGCAACATACCATTAGCTGTTACTGCACTGACAATGTTAGGTAATGATGTCTAGTTTTATTATTGAGTATGATATGTTGTAATGTTTTAAAACTTACTTCTGGAAATCTAAATATTTCTGTGGATATAAAAAGTGTAATCTGGAACTATCTACTCCTAATTAATGTGATACTTGGAGTAATTTGTGTGTTTCCAAAGCTTGTCTGATTATTAAACCAAGTTGTGGTGTGAACGTGCTGTGAAAGACTTCCCATGCTCTTTAAGTGCATGAGGTTTTCCCCATTCTGTAACACTGAGCATTTCTATGTTTTTAGATATTAATCAACTACATAGGTGAAACTGGGTGTACATATGAATGACTGTTTATTTAGGAAAATCGAATTTGGCAGATTTTAGGATGTGTGATCCCCCATCAGGGGGATGAAACTTCAGAAACTGATTATCAGAATCTTCAGCCACTGGTATTTATAAAATTAGCCTGTTATGGACAGGTTGGGTTCAGCCTCTCCCTAAGAGCAGCCAGTGAGAGTGGATGGAATGTTCAGAGAAGGAGACTTGGAAAAACAGCAGTTGAGAAAGTAGTGAGGGGTTAATAGTAGACAAGTAGACCGTTTAAGTGCTGAGGTGAAAAGAGGGTTTTCTGACTGAGGGGGACTGTATAGAAGAGCTGCTTGGAACAGGCTGCAAATAGTAAATTTGTAACTGAAGGATCCTAGTTGTAGGTATAGGACCTCAGTTCCAAAGTTCAGTGGAAGCGAAACGTTGTTTCTTATACTTTACTTTCTTCAAGGATTTGTTCTTATAAATAAAAGTTTCTTGTTTTGATTAACCCTGTGGGCTGCATGTCTAAGGGAAAGAAACACACACACCATTTAATATCTTGGTGTATACACATATAGGATATGAATGAATGGTGGCAGCGAGTGAATGGAATAGTGTTTGAGCAAAAAAGAAAAAGAAAAAAAAAGAATAGTGTTTGAGCCCTAATCCCAATAGCTCTGTGTGAGTGAGGGCTGATTATTAAAGGGGTCTAGACTACCCTGTCTGTGGATGTCTCTGGAAGTGAGAGAGGGAAGGGGACCTGTGTGCGATGGTCATGACGCTCTGTTGATTATGAAGGAGACAAGAAAAGTGGCAAGTGTGAGGTCCTGACCAATGTATAACCCATAACCTGAAGAAGAGAGGTTGTAGAGGGTGAAAGGCACTCTGTGTGAGTGGAAGGGGGCTTCACATGGCCCCTTTATATTTCAGTCTTACACATTTCTGAACACCAGAATGCAATATATCCTGTTCTGTATTGCAGTTTCCTTTTGGACGAGTGGATAACATGAACAAGACATAGGTGATAATAGTCCTTCAGATTTTACTTTTTTCCACATTAATTTTTCATTCCGTCATGTTTCTCTATGTACGATGCTGGCGTCATTTCAGATAATTGGTTGAGAAAGAAAGGTTATATATTGCTATAGATTATCTGCTTTCATCTGCAGTTAACTTCAGTCACTTGATGCACACTAGATCATATTATCAATGTATTTTCTGCTAAAGAGAGTGAATAGTTTACTGTCTTTTAAAATCATTTTAATATATGTGTGCAATTTTTCAAATGGGGGAGAAAACTTTGTATGTTTAAGTGAGTTGGATGATTTCTCTGTTCTATTTTGCAGCATTTTCAGTTAGCTTTGGTTGACTGCAATCCTTGCACTTTGTCTAATGCTGAAAGTAAGTAGTTCAAGGGCTTGTTAAGTCTGTATTTGTTCTTGTTATTTCTTAGATTTATTTAATCATCTGTATCAGCCCTTTCTACCAATATTGGCACCCAAGGTACCAATGTATAGAATCATTTGAAAGCAAAATAATTAATTTTAAAAAGATTTAAAATAGGATACAAGTAGCACAGTTTGGAAGCCTGTAGTACAAAACTTTCAAAAGTCTTAATCAGAACAGCTCTGCTTCTACTATGCAAGGATATGGTTAATATGGCCCTCTACTTCAGAAATAGTTGCCGAGCACCCTCAGTAGTAGATGTCAACAATCCCTGCCATAGTGCTCTTCCTGTCTCAGCCCACCATTAAGTTCCAGCTGCTCCTTTTCCTTCTGTAGCAGTGCTGGAGTACTGGGAGAAAACTGACAAAAATCTCAAATGGTTTTAGTGTTGCCATGGCACCATAGCCATTGCTGTGTTCTATATAGAACAAAGTTTGAGTGCAGTGGCACCTTTAAGACCAACAAAGTTTTATTCAAAGTGTAAACTTTTGTGTGCAAAGCACACTTCTTCAGACAAATGGAATAAAATTTCCTCAAGGGCTACTTACAGGGAGGGGGGGGGAGCTGTTAGGAGGGACCACTCAAAGCCAAGAAAGCTTTGTTGGTCTTAAAGGTGCCACTGCACTCAAACTTTGTTCTGCTGCTTCAGACCAACACAGCTACCCACCTGTGTTCTACATAGCACCTCATAGAGTGACATTAAATTACAAGTAGTATTTTTAAAAACACTATAAAATCAAACATTGATTCAGAGCAAGAACTTTGGTTCAAGTGCTTTCTTGAGGCTTTTAAAGGCTATTTTTTATGGATAACAACTGGATTCCACAAATAAAATTGAAATGATATGGTTTAATTTTGTTTAGATAGATAAAAGAACACCAGCAGTATAGTATTAAAAAACCATGAGGCATGGGAATTCTCAGTCTCCCTTCTCCTCTACTTTCTCATTCCCTCTCCCACGCTCTCATATGTCTTTGTAACTGTTGCCTTGAAGTCCTAATGGGGCAGAAAGGTGGGACACAAATGTTTTATAAAAGTTTAAATACTTTAAAATAAAATGTCCTTTCACTGGCTGTCCTTATTTGTTTTCTTGGAGCTGGCATAGTACGTTCTACCTTCGTGTGTACTCCCCCCCCCCTTCAGCTGAAACCCTCGCCATACCCTTCCAGCCATTGTTTTCTACCTCTGATCAATTGCCTGTCCTTCTGCCCAGGTTTTTCCATACCTGTTATTTAGCCCTTACTGCACAGACATCACTTTCTTCTATAGCTTTTAACACCCACTAATTTTTAAGCTGTTTATATTTCTCTACACATCTGAAAGTTACCCAAAGTTTGCAGGGACACAAAAGAGACCTTTTATCTGTTCAGGTGCACCTCTCTAACAGATTGTCTTCACTGTGGGATCACCCATTCAGTGTCTTCTGAGATAAAGCTGCTTTGAACTGTGTACTTTAACATGGTAGATCCAAAGAGCTCCTTCAGCTCCTAATGGAATTTTTGCCTTTTTTGAGCAGCATATCCCCATGCCAGATCATAAACTGATTGGTGACCTGCAGGTAGCTTGTCCGGTTAATTTAAATCAGTTTGCAGTTCTTTACCACTAAAATTCCTCAACTTTGCTCATTGTCTTCCCTGATTCCTTCCTAAGCCCTGCCTCATCTATCTGGCCTTTTTCTTGTTCTTCACTGGATCTATCCAGTGATATACTATGGTGATGTACATGATTTTCCATTCTTTATTTTTACCTTCACAATTGTGAGGTAGTTTAGGCTGAGATTAAGTAGACCAAGATCATTCAGTAACTTTCATGGCTATATGTGTGCAACCAGTTTTTGGAAATTTGTGGGAGGATTTGAGTCTGGGACCATTTTATTTTATTATTATTATTATTATTATTATTATTATTATTATTATTATTCCCCACCTTCCCCGGAAACAGGCTCAGAGCGGCTGTTTTTGTAAAGGATGGGTCTATCTGTTGTCTGAGAGAAGACCCTTCTGTATGGCATTGCTCGATTCAGTGTCTGTACAGAGAGACATGAGGTTATAAATAGATGCACATAGATAACTTCGTACTTATTTTGCTTGAACTTATTGTTCTTTATATCTTCCCTACTTTTGCAGTTCGATTTCACATTGCCCACTTGTATGAAACCCAGGTAAGTGTTATGCATGTTTTGTTTGTTAAATCTAAGTTGGTATGAAATCTTGTAGACAGTAATGCCAAGCTGAAGAGAGTGATTTTCATGAAGTATTTGCCATCATTGAGAAGTCTTTCTGCTCTTCCCAGCACTTCACCTATTCAAAACGTTTTGCCCTTGTTGTAATGGGCTGTATTTGTCCTCCTTGGTGTCAGCACATAACCAAATCTGGCATAATTCCATCCACTTAGTGATCCATGATTGGCTAAGATCACTTTGTTTAGGAGAAAGAAACTCTAACAAGGTTTTCCCCTCTTGGAAAACCTTTGTCAAAGTAAGAACAAATGCAGGGTAGAAATAAGGCAGCAAACAAGACCAAAAAAAGTTAAGGTTCCGTTTTATAGTTGGGTTGATGATATTCTTACCCCAGCAGTCTTTCACACTGAAAATCAACATGAGTAAATGTTCAGTACAACTCCAACAGCAAGCAAACTGTAACCAGATTTTCCTTCATATGGAAACAGTTTTTTGGAGGGGAAACGTCCTCCCTGTTTTGGGCTGTAATTATGTAATTAGAGGTAAAATACAGAACTTTTCTATATCTCCTTTTGCGCAGCCTCCATATCACAGTCTCTGTATCTCCCTTCAAACTGAGAGTCAGTGAAGTGACATTCTACTGACTGTGGTGTTGTTGTTTTTTACTTTGTTCCTTGAAATACCTCCTAAACCTTGAAAGTGTGCCATGATATCATCCTTTCTTTTCTATGGATCTGTGTGAAGCAAGAGTGAGAACCACCAATGTTGTTACTGTTCTGTATTAATTTAATGTGGAAAATAAAAATATTTTGTTTACTCTGTATGCCATACTGTAGGTAGTATTGTCTTATAAGTAAAAATTAGGGAGTACAAGGAACTGTGTGGCAGGAGGAGGGGGGCAGAGAAAAATTTGAAAGATTCCTCTAAGAGGAATCCCTCTCCAGGATTTCATGAGCTATTGGGGGCTTCTACAGACTAATTTCCCCTTCCCTACCCTTAATTTATTTAGCTGCTCTCAGTATTCTGTGTCAATTAGAGCATGCTCTGTCCTCATCAGGACATTTCAGGAGTTTTATTTTGGTTAATTTAGATATGTTTTGCGGGCATGGGGATTCCTTCAAGTATACAAAAAGCCCAACTTGTCTCACTTTACTAATAGATAACAGCAATTCTTAAAATATAAAATAAAATCTAGCATACAATTTGTTTCAAAGTTATTTTATATCCTTTTAAAAAGAGGGTATGCAATGCATTGGAGCAAAAACGTAAACCTCCATCAGTCTGAAAAATCCATTATATTAAAAGAATTAGTATTGTTCTCATAAAACTCACTACTTGTAACTCAGACTAAATTGTCATGTCACCCATTAGATATTTAAAAGAAACTTGAAAAGGATCTTGATCTTAGGTTATCATACGTGAGTTGAATAAGCATAACATATGTAACTTGAATAAGCATACCATATTTGAAGAAATCACAATTACAGATAATACAATAATGTAGAAACAATAATATAGTTGTCCTAAGGTACCTCAACTAAAAACTGTTAAAGATTGGAAACTAGTTGTTTTGTGTCTGCATATACATGGATCTAATAGGATATCATGTACAATTTTGATTGTGTTATTCCCTCCCCCCCTTTACTTGTGTCTTTCTAATTCAGTGTGTTTCCTAATGAATGGCTAGATCTCACTGTCTGTGATGACTCAGCCAGTCTTCTGGCCTCAGTATCAAGCACATAATAAACATGTTGCATGATCTGTTCAGTATTTGCAGTGCTGCTCTCAAAAGGCTGAAGTTGTTAGACAACTTGCAACTGTTTGCATTACAGCAACTTTTTAAAATCTCAGCTACAAAAGGAGGAAAATAGTGTCCTCACAAACATCCTATACTTTTCTCTGCTGGTTTTTATGTGCTTTGTGAAATAGTTAATTAATCCTAGTCTGTAGAATGCCAAGATACAGAAAAAGACAGTGCCTTAGTATCACTTGACAACTAGTTGAATTGAATAGCATCTCTGGTGCCTTATGGAATGGGGCTCATTAATTTCCTATAGCCTTTCTTTTCTCTTTAGCAACCTATATCAAGAATGCCTCCATTTTGGAGTAAAGTTTGGACATTCTAAATTTATAAGGTAGATAATACTGTCATTAGCACCGTATAGCATCCCAAATGTAGCAGAATAAAGGATCACAATCAGCAAAATCAAGAGAAATGATAGACCTACAATTCACTAGATTAAATAAATAAATCTGAATTGACTGTTCTTTTTGCTGTTAATTGTATTGAAGCTGGTGTTTTATTGGAGAAAGCAGCATTCTGCTTTAGTGCTGAATATCATTAATATTCATTTCTGTTTTTAATTACAGTACTGCCCGCCTGAATTTATAAATTTAAAGTTGTAATTTCTTTTTTTGCTCTTGTTTAAGAGAAAATATCACTCTGCAAAGGAAGCTTATGAACAACTTTTACAGACTGAAAATCTTCCTGCACAAGTGAAAGCAACTGTGTTACAGCAGTTAGGTATGTAAAAGACTGGGGAGGAGAAATAAATATAAAGTGGTGTTTTTTGTGCAGTCTGTTGCATTGACAGGACATTTCAACGTATCCAACTTGAAATATCATAAGTTTCCACTGGAAGGGTATTGGTCCTAATCTAAGCATTGGTGGCCAATGACAAAGTTTTTTGCTTTTATTTATTACTATCTGTGTTAACCCATTTATAAATTTAAATAAATAAATAAATAAATAAAAAATAAATATTTCTATGAAATATTCAAAATAAAGTTAGCATTCATAGTCTAGAAATGTGAAACTTAATTGCTTTAGCTGCTTTTTAGTTTGTTACCACTCTTAGATCTTACCTTAATGTTGGGCCTCAAGGTCTACAGGACTGTAGAAGAAAATTGTGCAGATACATTAAATACCCCCCAGAATAACACACAAAATTGGCATTACTTGAAAGCAAGTATCACTGTGACTACCAGATCCCTAACATAGTACAACTAACAGCAGTTTTCTGGTTGGCAGGATGGTAGAATTAAGCCCTTTCTATCTGTCTCAGTTTGGCTGGGTGGAGCAAATTCCAAGCTGCTACAGTATACTACTTGTTAAAGATGACTTAAAAGAATGAGGTGGAACTTTGCTCCATTTGTCTTCCTTTTGTTGACAGGTGTTTATAGAGCAGTGGAGCTGGATAGATGTAACATCATCTCCTTCAGTATTGGAGCTTCTGGTTAGCAACCTCATGTTCTATAGGCATACCTTTAACAGTGTATTTTCAAAATGTGGGTTAATTTACTTCATATACAGTCTGCCTTTCTCACTAAGATTAAAAGGGAATTACATAAATTGTAAACAAAAAACCCCGATACAATCAGAGCAGTATACATGCAGCATGAACAGCTTAATACAATGAGATTTCAAAATTAGAGCAGTGTCCTAAACAGTTTACTACACACAATAAACTAATAGATACAACGAACAATGGAACAAAACTTCATTACAAGATTAGAGAAACAGTTGAATAGTATGGTATGTATAGCAAACAAAGCAATGAAAACTCCCTGAAAATTTGTCATGAATTATGACCCTATTTCCTTTATAAAAGCCCATCCTGAACAATTCTGTTTTGTATATTCTGTGAAATGATAAAAAGTGTGGGAGTCTTCCTGAACTCATCAGGTAGGGATATTCCACCAAGCTGGAGCAACAACAGAGTATGCTTGAGTACCAGCTACTATTTTTTTTAAAAAAAAACTGCCCCGGAAGGCAGAATTTTATTGAAATTTTCATGTTTTGCACAAACAAACACAAAATGTATAAACACATTTCCAACACTTATTAGAACATTTTAAGTTGATTTTAGCTAACCTTTCAGGTGTTACATACCATCTATAAAACATTTTATAAACATTTTCTTTATAAGGAATAGCTTTAGTGATCTTAATATTTTTCTTCCATATTTGGTCCCACTGCTCCAAGTTAATATTATGCCCTATATTCTGCACCCATTGAATCATATTCCCTTTCGCTATCTCATCCAACAACAAATCATCAAGTAAACGTACATAAAGTCTTTGTATAAGCTTTAGATCTGTGGATATAATAATCTTTTCAATCTCTAACAAGTTTTTATAGAATCCAATTTTCTTATCTTTGGTAAATCTAGATTCTATTTGCGCTCTTTGCCACCATGGTAAATCTTCTAGTGGTTTCAAATGTTCCTCAGAGTCCAATATATCCTTCTCTGTATGTTCCTCAGAGTCCAATATATCCTTCTCTGTATTTCTTCCTGGTAAGCATTTGGGAGTGTAATAGCTTCTAGTGGGACAATCAGTTTTGATTTTTTTCGTATAGAAATGCCTGTATAGATTTTCCCAAACTTCCATTAGGGATGCCCGTATTCAATGTTGCTTAAAATATTTATGTGTACTTCCTTTCCATACCATAAGAAGGCATGCCAACCTAACAAGAGGTCATGACCTTCCAATTTCAATATTCTCTTGTCTTCCAATGTGACCCAGTCTTTAATCCACATTAATGCAGCTGCTCTATAATAAAGATTCCAGTTAGGTAGGCCAAAGCCTCCCCCCCTTTCTTTTGCATCTTGAAGAGCTTTCAATCAATAAATTTTGAAATTGCTTGTTCTAATTCCTTAAAGATTTTTGGGTTTTGCAAAATGGGAATTGTTTGAAATAAAATTAACCATTTTGGAAGTATATTCATATTAACTGTTGCAATATGTCCCATCAAAGATATCTGTAGATCTTTCCGTTTCTCTAAATCCTGTTTTGTCTTCCTCAGTAGTTCTTTGTAATTATTCTCTTGTAATGAATTGCATTTATTTGTCATTACAATTCCTAGATATTTTATTTTCTTCTGTAGCTGGAAACTTGAGGCTTCTTGTAGTTGAATTGCCCTCTCCTCTTCCATATTTTAGTCATTATCTTAGTTTTGTTGATATTTCTTCTCAAGCTGGCTACAAGTCCATAGTCTCCCAAGTTCTTGTTTCAAGATAAGAAGTGAATCCAGTGGGTTCTCCAGTATAAATACTAGATCATCAGCAAATGCCAAAAGTTTATATTCTTCCCCTTTTAATTTCAGGCCCTTAATCTCTTTCTGTCCTCTTATTGAGTCATTAAGTATCTCCAATGTGAAAATGAACAGCAGTGGGGAAAGTGGACATCCCTGTCTTGTCCCTTTTTGGATTTCAATGTATTGTGTCTGTTCCCCATTAATCGTTACCACCGCCTTTTGTTTGGTGGATCATCTTCACAAAGTTAGCACCAGCCGGTGCCTCTTTCAAAGCTTCCAACATAAAGTTCCAATTAACATTGTCAAAGGCCTTTTCAAGCTACTATTGATTATCCATTTGCAGGGTGGCACCTACAGAAGGCTCCACTCAGATGAGTGAAGCTGTCATGGCCGCAGGAAAGATGGTGGTCCTGCAAATATGAGGGTCCAAGGCCGTAAGGGGCAACAGTGTTGTAAATTGCTTTGATTCCTCATTGGGGAGAAAAGCAGGGTATAAATAAAAAGCAATACACATTTTATAGTGAAATTTTAAACAGTCTTTAAAGAAAATGATTTAAAAGAGTAAAAACATTAATCACCTCTAAATGAAAATGTTAGGACCTTTTAAAAAATTGAGGGCAAAAGGTGGGTAAAACATAACAAAACTTTTTTTGCCAGATACCCAGGTCAATGAGATTATTTTTGTCTAGGGTACAGAAGAGAAGACCCTAAGCATTATAGAACATAGGGAAGGAGTTCCACATAGGATATCACCGCAGAGAAGGCCTTGTCCCAGCAAGCAACTTGTTTTATTTCAGAATAGACATACACAGAGCAGGGTTTCCCCAGATAATTTCATCTGTCAGGTTCACAAGGGGGCAATTCAAATACTGTAGTTGCATAACATTCAAGAACTTTAAATGTAAGAACTAGTGCTTGAAATTGTGCTTCAGAATGTATTGGGCAATGAGGTTCTTTGAGAACTGGCAAATAAGTTTCCAATATGTAATTTGTGTCAGCAGCCTTGTTGCTGTATTGTAAACCGATTATAGTTTTTGGATCACCTCCAGGGGCAGCCCCACATAGAACTTGTTTAAGGAGCGTAATCTGGCTGTGATCAGAACATGGATAACTAGGGGCATATTTTGCTAGGAATGTCTGCTCAGATATATGCAATCCAAATGTAAACCTGAAAAATACCATATCAGCATTTCCTGGTATATTCAGGTACCTGGAGTTGTATTCAGGATTCTTGGGAATAACGTTATCCGTGTAGTGGTTAGGTGTGTGAACTCTAATCTGGGAGAATTGGGTTTGATTCCCCACTCCTCCACATGCAGCTGCTACTGTGACCTTGGGTCTAGGGCTGCCAAACCGCAGCGGGGAATCCATGCGTCGTCGCAGGATCGCTGCCGCGGGGGGACAGCAATCCGCGTTGCACCGGCGTCACCAGGATGTGACGCTACGCGTCGCCCTGGCAACGGGACTTCAAATAGCCCCGTTGCCAGAGCAACACGTAGCGTCACATCCTGGCGACACCGGTGCAACACGGATTGCTGTCCCCCCGCGGCAGCGATCCTGCGACGACGCACGGATCCCCCGCCACGGTTTTGCAGCCCTACTTGGGTCAGTTACAAGTTCTTTCAAAGTTGTTCTCTTAAGGACAGTTCTTTAGAGAGCTCTCTCAGCTCCACCTACCTCACAGGGTGTCTATTGTGGGGAGGGGAGGGGAAAGGGATTGTAAATCGCTCTGAGACTCCCTTGGGTAGTGAAGGGCAGGGTATTAATCCGATCTCTTCTTCTTTAAGGATCCTAGTCCTGGGTTTCTCCGCTTTAACAGGTTTCCTGGACCAGTGGTTCCCAACCTTTTAGGTTTGGTGACCCACAAGTCCAAATTTACTTGGTTTGGTGACCATTCATGGCTTGGCCCAAGGTGTTTTGGGACCCAAGGCAAACTATGACCTTAGCAGTCATCAAGCTCAGCTGTCCCTTCTATGAATCCTATGCAGATGGTAATCTTTACCATTTTTTTAAAGTTTATTTATCTTTTCCATAACAGTCAAAACAACACAAGGTAACTATCTTCATCTACAACACATTTTTGGAGTATACAATTACATGTTTTTTTCCATCCATCTATTCATTTTTTGCCATCTTTTTTGAAATATCTTTTCATCTTTTTCTAACAATATCATATTCACTTTATCCATTTCTTTTATTTCCATAATTTTCATAATTACTTCTTCTCTTTCTGGTAATTTATCTGTTTTCCAACACTTAGCTATAAGAATTCTAGATAAAGTAAGTACATATATTATCAAACATAAGTCATTGTGTTTGATCCCGTCTGGTAATATATTAAGCAGGAATACCTCCGGATCCAATTTCAGATCTATTTCAGTTATCTCTATTATTAATTGTTTTATCATTTTCCAAAATTTACAAATCTTTCCACATCTCCACCATGTGTGATAGTATGTTCCAATATTTTTTTTGCATCTCCAACAATTCCCTGAAGTATTTTTATAACATTTTGCCACCTTATCTGGAGTCCAATGCCATCTGTAGAAAATTTTATAAATGTTTTCCTTATATGATGTTGCTCTTAATAATTTTATTGATTTCCACATTTTCGACCATTTCTCTGTATCTATGTCGTGTCCCAAATCATTCGCCCATGCTCACATGCATGGTTTTGTAGTCTCATCTTGCATCTCAATATTTAATAAAAAATTATATAGTTTTTGTATCATTTTATCTGAGGATGACAACCATATTTTGTCTAGGTCTGATTTTGTTGTTGCAAAGTTCTTTATTTTATCCTTGGCAAATCTTGATTTTCCCCAATTTGTAAGATTAATGTTTAGTGCTTGTAGCGTTTCAGAGGATTTCAACTCATTTTCTTTTGTTAATAAAATTTCATAGTTAACATTTTTGCTTTCAGTCATTAATGTTGGCATTATAAATGCCTCTAGCGGAGAAACCCATCTAGGTATTCTAACTTATGCAGATGGTAATCTGACATACACAGCCGTTGCATAGGTTACATTTCAGTCTTTGACTACCTTCTCTTTGTCCATAAACCCCCTCTAACACACAGAAACCAAGATTCTAAGGAACTCACACTAGTGACACATCAGGACACATTTTACTTTATCAACGTATATATGCAGTGAAGGAAAAAATACCAAGTAATGTATGACTTAGAATAAACTGTTTTCACGGTCAATTCTCAGTTTCCAAAATACAAATGAGAGCAATGGAAGGGGCAAGGGTGGCCATGGGGGGGGGGCTGGCCCATGACCCACTTTCAGAGGCTTCATGACCCACTTGTGATCTTTGACCCACAGGTTGGGAAACAGTGTCCTAAACGCAAGCTAGGCACAAGACCAACAGAGCTGTAGGTCTGGCTGGCTCCTTCTCCTTCTCTCCCTCCTTTGGAGACCTTTTCCAGGGCTGTTTTTTCCTCCCAGTCCACACACCTGCAAGTAGGATTGCTGGGGGCCCATAGAATTGGACAACATTGTACAATTTACTTGAAACTTGCGTGGCCTTTAATAGACAGGCAGCACCAGCTCCCCTGCAATTTTGGTGTAATTTTGCTGAAAAATAGCCACTCCACCCCCACCCCAAAAATCCCCATAAGAAATAATGGAACCCAGATCATTGTGGAATCCTGGGGGAAACCTGGATCCCAAAGCAGTACTAGGGCATCTGAGTCAAAAATACAATGGTTTGGGTTTTTATGTGCACATCCCTACATCTTGCTTCTCCAGAAAGTGGCACAACTGGTGGTTAAATGTGCTTTGTGCCACAAATGAATTTAGTGTGATGTTCTTTAACATGGGTTTATTAGCAAGCCTGCTTTTTCAAGGGAAATGCAACCCTATCTAGAACAGGCTCAGACCTGTCTTTTGCTACATTGAGATATAGTAAACCAGGAGAATCAAGGTAATTACACACACACACACCCTTCTCAGCAAAGGCCATCGGTCAGGGGGACCATGGTGATCTAACACTGGTTGGAAACTGGATTGAAATGTGTCCAGATACTCTGTCTTCTCCAAGAAACCTTGAAAATGTGCTCAAACACCTTTCTCAAGAAAGGTATGTTAGGGTCCAAGGAGGGCTTCTTTAAGAGCGGTCTCACTACCACCTCCTTCAAGGCAGTCTGTGGATCTCTGTGGAGCTGTTTCAGTGTTCTGTTATAATATGTATGTTGTTGCAAAAATTAAACATGCTTTATAGGATTTCAGATCTTGACTCTTCGAGTTTCGTTGCAAAATATGTACTAGGAATTCTCTGATTGAAGTTCCAGTAGATATAGTCAATGTTTCATATTTTTTTGGTTTATATAATCTTCAATATAAATTGTGTTGTTTGTTACACAAATTCTTAAAAAATGCAATAATCAAGGTAAGAAGGCTAACAAAAATCAAGTCCTACTAGATTAATCTTCAGCTCACATGTACTTTTTCTTAGGCTGGATGCATCACACAGTGGATCAGTTAGGAGATAAAGCCACCAAGGAAAACTATGCTATTCAGTGTCTCCAGAAGTCTCTAGAGGCAGATCCCAACTCTGGCCAGTCTTGGTATTTCCTTGGAAGGTAAAAGTTAATGATATAACAAGAATTTTTTAATAAGGCTGTTGTGTAGTGGTTGGAATAGGAGGAGAAAACCTGGGTTCGTACCCCTGCTTTTATACATGCAGGATCATTGAGCACCCTTGAGTCAGTCAGGTACCCTCAGTCTTAACCGCTATCAAAGGTTTGTTGTGAAGAATAGACTTGCATAAACCCATGTATTGCAACCACTCAAATGCCTTAGAAAAATAGTGGGATAGAAGTATTGCCGGTATTAAAGATGCACTTTGGAAATTTTGCAGAAGCACTCAAGATCAATATTTGATTTAATCTGAACATGAAAACCAGGCAGCTGATACTTGACACCAGTTTAATTGTATAATAAAAAGTGCGGCATTGTGAAGGGGTTTTTTTTTGTACTTGTTGCACGTATGGATTGTTGACTATAGCAGATAACTTGGATAAAACCCATAAGAGTTGTACATCTGAGTATTGCAGTGAGTATATGGAGAATGTATGCATCCAAAAGCCCGTTCGTAGTTATCCTTCTACTCCAGGATTGTACAGTTTGTGACATCTCTCCTCCCCCATTAGCCAAGATGTAGTTACCACCTTTTAGGCCTTAGTGTTTACCCCTTGGAGTTGTTAGGGGCAACTGTTTTAACCTTTGTGGCTGCCAGGAGGTTAAATGACCCTGGTCTTTTGAACTTTGTGCATGCTGGAGAAGAAGGTGGTAGAAAGGAATACACCACTTGAAATTGCAGGTGATGGTTTCCACCTATGAATGAAAATACAAAACAAGTGCAGCAGGGAAACAGTGTCCATTCCTCTTTTTTGCGTGTTGTACTAGCTTTCTGTTTGGAAGGAACAGAGGAGAGCATTCCAAAATGGGGTGTTCCATCTTCATTCTGAAGCTTTACGTGACATTCTGCCACCTTACACCTACTGCATTCTTCTCGGGTCGTTTCGTAGAAAAACAGCTAGGGGAACTCATTAGCATAACTCATTAGCATATGCCACACCCCCGATAAGGCCACACCCCCTGACATCACCGGAAGTGTGTCATAAGGCCACACACCTCGCCCCCAACGGTCCCTGCCGCCGCCGGCGGCCTTGCAGCTCCACTGCCGAGCCCCATGAGGGGCCCGGCGATGGACCTTCAAGGCCGGCGGGAGTGCAAGGAAGCCCCGCGAAGGCCCTCCCTGGCCCCAGGCAGGCAGGGGTGGGGAGAGGCAGGGAGGAAGCAACTTACCCTCCCTCTTCTCCTGCCTCCTCCTGGCTGAATGAGGGCCAGAAGCGGGGTGGCCGGAAGCAGGGGGCGGGGCTTCGTCATGTGCCCCGCCCCCCGTACCTCACCTGGGGGAACTGCGATCCCCCCCCAAATGACCTCTGATTCTTCTGCATTTGTAAATTAGTCTTGAGAATTCAACCTTAAGAACCATCTTATCAGTTATTCCACCCACTTCATGTGTATTTGGCATGAACCATGATGCTGGAGGGATCTGGAGCTACAAAAGAAGAACTACCAGATACCTGGGCTGGCCAAAATACATATTCAACTAGATTGATCACAAGTTTTCCTTCTGTTTGTTCTGTATGATGTCTGTAAAAATACCATCTACTTCAGCAATAAAAAAAAATAGAGTGACTTATTTTTAGGGTTGCCAACTCTGGGTTGGGAAATTCTGGGTTATTTTGGGGGCATAGCCTGGGAAAGGCATGGTTGGGGGGGGGGGTCATCCTCAGTGGGATATAGTGTCATAGAATCTACCCTTCAAAGCAGTTTTTCCCCCACAGGAGAACTGTTCTCTGTAGCCTGGAGACTAGTTGTAATTCTGTTTGTGTTATGTTTTTGTTTTGTTTTTAAAACTGAGAAAATTAAGGTTTGTTTTATTGTAAAAGAATCCCCTGGGATAAAAGTAAGCCATTTATGCAGTGTTAATTTAATCATATTAGAACATTTTGGGTAACTCTAGATACAAGCTGTTTCCTTTTGCTTGATTCTAAATCTTTAGATTATCTGTATCTACAGTACAGTCTTTGTTGTTGAGGCTGCAAGCTTTCCATTCACAGTAGGGGACAATGATAATGGAAATTAAATCATTTCGTGTTTTAAAATGTTAAATTTTCTTTAAATCTTTGTTTAAATGCAGTTCATTTTGAAGTTTTTTTCTTGTTAAACTTTGAACTTCAAAAGCTGTGAGATACAACACTTGAGTTTCAAAAAAATTATAAAATCTACACTTTTCTTCTCAGATTTTTTTCAGTGTTATATATTGCTGAAAGCTAAGCAATAGACTAGGTGAATGCTAACAATAACTGCTTACCACTTCCGCTTTACATGATATAAAAAAACCACCCTCCACTTTTTTGTAGATACAACATTTTGCATTTTGTTTAGTAGATTTTTGGGGCTGATAGGTTTTCTTGATTCAGTAATGTTAAAAACAAGCCCTTTGTAAAAGTGTTCTCAATTACTGCGTTAATAATTTTCTCTTCTCTTAGGTGCTATTCAAGTATTGGGAAAGTTCAGGATGCCTTTATATCTTATAGGCAGTCTATTGATAAATCAGAAGCAAGCGCAGACACATGGTGTTCTATAGGGTAAGAGTGTTATGAAATACATTTTCTATCAAATGTAATGGGGTGGATCCAAATATGCTCTCTGCTCACAAAGGAATCTTCCCTTCATAGAAAGGCTCCTTCCATTAATGAATGGAATCTTTCCTTAGCAGAATTCTCCTTCTATGAAAGGAAGGAGTCCTTTAAGCGAAGGATACTTTGGATCTAATCCAGTATATTGGAGCAAGGCACATTTTGCATTCTTTTGCACTTTTACTGTAATATAAAGTTCTTAATTTTCAGTTATTTTTCTTTATGCTAGATTACAGGTGTGGGGGCTCAGAAAAAATGAAAGCATTCAGAAAACATTTGTCTGCACTGGGGGGTGTTTTTTCCCTCTCTCCAATGACAATTTGGAGAGCATTTGAAAAACATATTTGAAATATTTTTTTCTTTTGGAATTAGTGAAATGCTTTTTAAAAAAAGGTTTTGCTCACTCAGAATTCATAGTGTGAAGATTTTATGAACAACACTCGATAGCAGATTGGTAATATTTGTAATTTTGCTTGTAGAAAACTATGGCATTTATACTTCTAAGTTTTATAAATATGTCAAGTAGTAGTTTTCTGTGCTATGTTACATTTCCCCCCATACAGTCAACATTTACAGAAATTTCACGTCTCTGTGCTGCAGATCCAAATTAATGTATAGTATGTATATATCACTTCAGGCAAGTCTCTGGAGAGGCAGCGTATAGATGGTGCAAATAAACCAACACTGGCTGCTGGGCTGACACTCTCAAGTATTGTTGTACAACCTCCAATTAAAGAGGCCTGTTATGGGACTTCCACGTTTTCAGTTGTAGTTCACTGAGGTTGTATAGCAATTATGCTTTGGATTTTTCCTACCAGATTTGATATCAAGTTACAAACTGGATATGTGTTGGAATGGTGGAATTTACATTTATCATGATGTAGAAAAGGGTTGTTGTAATACTGTTTAGCCAAATGGAATATTGCCTTGCAGAATTGAAAGTATCATTCATCTTTGTCTTCAGCGTGCTGTACCAGCAACAGAATCAGCCTATGGATGCATTACAGGCTTATATCTGTGCTGTGCAGTTGGACCATGGCCATGCTGCTGCTTGGATGGACCTTGGCACCCTCTATGAGTCCTGCAACCAGTCTCAGGATGCCATTAAATGCTACTTAAATGCAACCAGAAGCAAAAATTGTAGTAATACCTCTGCACTTGCAGCACGGATAAAGTATTTACAGGTACAAACTTTGGTCAAAGAATAGGGGGATCTTTAACAGTGTCATGGGGCAAGGGAAAGGAGGCAATAAAGACACCACAGTTAACATGTAATTTTTCATGATGTGTGTAATCTGTTTCCATCTACATTGTAAACATATCACAGCTTGCAGCTTCATTTTGTTTCTCATTTTAAGTGGGTCTCAGTTCTTAAGTAATATTTTACTTTTGTACTTTGACATGAATTATGTGTACTTTGTGTTGTCTGCATTTTAATTTATCATAGCATTTAGAGAAAGCATACACTACCTTTTCGCTCTTGTTTGCTGTTTCAGAACCAGAGCATGAATGAGATCTCTAAAACCAGAGCTCAGCTTTGTTCTGATTCTCACAAAGGTTTATATTCTGGTTACCCTCTTTTATCCTTAGCTCCTCTCTGAAACCCCAGATTTAAAATTTATTCTTTCTAAGACACAATAGAGTGCAGAATTTAGGAAGATTTCATGGATTGATCTTACTAAATTAGGCTTGTGTTAAATTTACTTTTTACATAATTTTTCCTAGGCTCAGTTGTGTAACCTTCCACAAGGTAGTCTACAGAATAAAACTAAATTACTTCCTAGTATTGAGGAGGCATGGAGCCTACCAATCCCCGCAGAGCTTACCTCCAGGCAGGGTGCCATGAACACAGCACAGCAGGTGAGAAGTTGGGTTATATTCTGCAAGTGCCCAGCTTTTTAAGGGTTCTTTTCAATCAATCTGTAGTAGTCGAGAATATTTTGCTGTAGCACGGAGCTAGTTTTTCACTGGTAACAAAAATAATTAGCAAAAGGAGGTTTAGACTCCCTGTGATTTGGAAGAAATATGGGGTTACCAATTTAGAACCTTTGTGGGTTTTCATGATTTTTAGAAAGATTTCACCCTACATAGAACTTGCAGCAGTTTTTATTTTAAAAACAACCCCATGAAAGGTACACACTGCTCATTTGGTGATGCTATGGAAATTGATTTTAGTAAATTACTTCAGAATAGTTACACAGTCCTTTTTAAAATGTACAGCTGGTAAAAATATGTAGAATAAGGGTTTTTTAAAAAAATGTATAGAACCATATTTTTTTCTTCCTCCTTTGATTCCTAGGCTTGTAAACCTCAACATCAAAATACTGAACCTGTACTAGGCCTCAGTCAAACACCTATTTCACAGCAATTGCCACTACACATGATTCCTTCTAGCCATGTAGATGACCTGTCCAGTCCAGCCAAGAGGAAAAGAACATCTAGTCCAACAAAGGTACATATTCTCATATAAAGTCCCAGTCAGTTACAAGAACCTAATCCTCTGGCATCCAGATGTATTAATCCACTTTTCAGCAAGCTCTTTTATTGACAATTAACATGCACAACAGTGATATTGGATTAAAACTAGCTGGACATCACAGTACCTATAGCAAACCAGAAGCTAGGAGAAGAATCATATCATTCTGTCTTCCACTTTTGCTTATATTTAAAATACTTAATCATCACATTAATATTATTGCAAGTGTTAAAATGAGTTTTAATAGATGAACCTAAATTCACCATGTGGTTTTTTTAGTTCTTCATCACAACTGATTATCTTTTACTTTTTCCTCCTGCTGTTACATTAACTGCAATTGAATTATGTTTAGCAATATTTATTATTCATTTGAGCAAAAACATTCTTGATTTATATCAGTCTATCGCTTATTGATATTAATGTTTTTAATTTTCACGTTTCCTTAGAACACTTTAGATGCTTGGAGCACTGGCCATACAGTGTCACATCCTCCAGTACAGCAACAACTACATTCTTGGTGCTTGACACCACAAAAATTACAGGTAAATCTATTTTAAAAACCTTTAGCTTTTACAAAAAGCTTATATTTTACTGAAATTATTGGATGATAGCATTTTATCTTCTGCCTTCTTCCAAGCCTTCTTCATATATAGCATTTTCTCTAAATCTGTATTGTTTATTTAATATATGTGCAGCTTTATATGAATATTTTTATAGTTGTGTCTTTTGCTGTGGTATGGTAAGGAGTACAAAATAAGAATTATTGTGTAAACTTCATTCTGCATTATATCTTATGCTTTGGCTTTGTCACTGCCATATGGTTGCTGTGTATACTAAATATATGAAATATTTACAACCTCATGAACTGTACTTGTTTGTTCTGAATTAGAACCTAGGGCAGCCTCTGGCTTCTTGAGGGCCAGATTACTTATGCTTCTCTTCCCCCGATAACATGATTGGCTCACCAGTAAAGAAAGGAGAATGACAGGAACCTTGCATGGGCTTGGATCTAGTGATGCGCAAATAGAAAATAAAAATACTCAGTGCACTTCTGCCTATGCAAAATCTTGAGCAACATCTAGCACTTTCATCTCTATATAGTATAGCCCTGAAATTGGTTGCAAAATACCTTGGGCAAATGGGGATACTATCAGTTTAACTTAGTATATGCAGCTACCACTGTCTCTCTCTTCTTTTTTTGCATTTCTGCTTGTGCAAGAGCTTCATCACAAGCAGACATTTTGCACTGGATCCAACCCATGGGCTAAAAGCTTTCAACATTCTCTCTTGTATTTATGATATTGTGCCATTCCTTATAAAATAACATGAATTTTTCAAAGGCTTCTCTATCAGCTTTTGTTATCAAAGTTAACTACAGGTGCCATACTTACATCATTGCAGCTAGAAGATTATTTAAGCTCTATTAAGACATCACTGATAAATCTTGCATTGTTCATAATGGGTACAAATCTGCTTACTTGAATCCACCCATGTTCACTCACTCTTTTAGTCTGTCTCCACTTAAATTGAGATTTGCTTCTTTCCCAAAAACTGGCAATCTAAACTAAGATTAGCCTCTGATTTAGAATTCTGCTTACCAGCAGAAAAGGCTGAAGTCGTCAACCTTAGTATTTCACACAAGGAGAGGGAAGCTCCTGAGTCCCACAATTAACATTCAAGCCTACCCTGAACAAATGTCAGTTTATCTGTGTGATGACTGATTGTAACCCAGTTTCTTAGTTTGAGTAGGTCAAATACATTTCTGCTATAACTTGTTTTAAAGGAAGCATACATAATTATGAACAGATAATTTCAGAAGATAAATTTGATCTTGTAAATTGTTATAAGGAAATCTGAACTTGTGCTTGAAGTTTAAGAAACATGTTTGTATTTCTTTTCCAGCACTTGGAACAGCTGCGTGCAAATAGAAATAATTTAAATCCAGCACAGAAACTTATGCTGGAACAGCTGGAGAGTCAGTTTGTCTTGATGCAGCAACACCAGCAGGTGCCAGTAAATACATTTATTTCAATTCTGTACATGCCCTATTTAATTGGACCTTTTCTTTTCTAAACCAGTAGTCAACAGTAAGAGAACTGTGTATATTTACACAGGCACAGAAGAGATTGAGGGTTTCCTTTTTTCTTAAATCAACTCCCTGTGATGCAATGATGGCAAAACATGGCTTACCATTATATCTGTCAGTCTCAGGAATCCTCAGGCTCTTGTCCTGTTTCATCCCCCTCTTTTATGTTATTGGACATAGCCCCTCTTTTATAGCAAGCCACAGTTTAGTGTTAGATGATCTACCTAACTGTTTTGGGCTTTCCTGGTTTGCAGGGAAAGGGCAAACCATAGTTTGGCAATTCAAAGACTCAGCTATAGTTTGCTACAAAAGTATGCTGCATGCAGGGGGAGAAAGAAGTGTGTGATCTTAAGGATCCCAATGATTCATTTGTTTATCAAGTTTGCTGTTACTTTTAAAGTGCCTGGCTACAAGTTTAAATTTCAAGGATTACAGTTATTAATGCAAAATATGAATGCTAATGAATAAGTTAATTGTTGTCAATACTGTTATAATGTAAACATTTTGTAAACTTCCGGGAGGGCATTTGCTCTGTAGGAGAGGTTATAAATGCAGCAATTGATAACTACAAATGATAGACTTTAACTGGGCTTAGTAGTCTAATTGTTCCACATTGCTACAAGCAATATTTCCAAAACTAAAGATTGTTAAAAATAGAAGGTCATGGTCTACTAATGGGGTGGCATGCTTTTACATGGTATAATAAGCATGAGACGAATAAATACTTTAATCAATACCTCCTTAGAAAGTCTTTGTTAAAAATATGGCAAAAGGTTAAGGAACTATATTATACAAAAATACCAAAGTGGGTATCCCCTTTGGAAGCATTTATAAAACCCACATATATAGGAAATACCCCCTATGGAGATATGAAGATTTGTTGGATAGGCATAATAACTTAAAATCAATTGGTGAATTACAAGAATATAATACAAACCTGATGTGGTGGGAGAGACTACAACTGGAAACAAGATTTAAAAAGGATAAAAAGAATGTTTTTTATGAGAGACTACCGGACTTAGATAAAATTTGGCTGGTGTTAGAGGAGAAAATAATGAAAAAATTATATGCTTTCTTGTTAGAAGCAATGATGCAAGATGAGATAGTTAAGACAACAAAATTCTGGTTGTCACTTAAGAAAATGATACAAGAAATGATATACAAATACCATTTAAACCAGAAATACACACTGTGCACCAATAATTACCTGTCAGTGTTTGTGTATTTTTAAACAAAAGTTGGGATTTATGGAAGAATGTAATTTATAAGTGACTTGAACTTGTATGAAGCGGCCCTTAATGTGATCTATTCGGAGGATAAAAGTTCATTTCTATCCTCTAGAAATGATACAGAGCAGTTCTGGTTTTAATATACACATTCATACTTTTTTTAGTTATTATCTTGATATTTTAATGGAGGATACCAAAATGCAAATAGACCCATACATTCAGAACTCTGATCCTACATATCATTTGACTAATATTCTTTATATTTTACTTTTTATTAGATGAGGCAGACGGGAGTTGCACAGGTACGATCTACTGGAATTGCTAATGGGCCAACAGCTGACTCATCACTGCCTACAAACTCTGTCTCTGGTCAGCAGCCTCAGGTTGCTCTAACCAGAGTGCCTAACATCACACAGCATGGAATCCGTCCAACCTGCCCAGGGCAGCCTATGGCTAATGGACCCTTTCCAGCAGGCTCTGTTCCCTGCGGCACAGCAAGAACGCTGGGTAGTACAGACACTATTTTGATAGGCAATAATCACATAACAGGAAGTGGAAGTAATGGAAATGTGCCTTACCTGCAGCGAAACGCACTCACTCTACCTCATAACCGCACAAACCTGACCAGCAGCGCAGAGGAGCCGTGGAAAAAACAACTATCTAACTCCACTCAGGTGTGCAATATATTTTCCTATTCTTACTTTACTATAGCAAAATGCTGATGTAAGAACATAAGCTTTTGTTATGTGTGATACTATATTTTAAATTTAAAATATTATGCAGTTTTGGCAGGTGCATATTATAACTGAAAGAAAATGTATTGGAATAGAACTTCACAGAGTAGTCACTTGTTCAGAATAATTTAGTTCCCAATTATATTTTTATTTCCTCAGATTGACAGAGTATTTGTAGCAAGTGTTCACAGGTTTTCCAAAACTGTGCAATCTAATCAACATCTGTTTGCTAAATGGCATTATACAAGCACTTTGCCCTAGGAACATTCTTTCAGAGAATCTCTTGCAACTATGTTATGATACATCGATGAAAATTAATGAAATTGTTGATACGTACCTGTTGAAATAACAGACCAAGAGTTGCTGTATGCTTTCATCCACATTCGGAAGAAGAATAGTATCGAAACGGTAGAACATTCCGGAGATCATTGTCAATTTCACCATTTTCAACTGCCTTTGTGCATTTATATATGCAGATTTTTTGTACACATTTTTGTATAAATGTTGTGATCGTTATTTAAATATTTTCTAGCACAGTTACCTCACAGTTTATTCTTTTTTCGGTCGGTTAGTCCTATAATACAAACCATAGTTATGGTAAGGTAAAGGTAAAGGTTTCCCTTGCTTGTGAGCTAGTCGAATCCGACTCTAGGGGACGGTGCTCATCTCCGTTTCCAAGCCAAGCGCTGACCAAAGACATCTCCGTGGTCATGTGGCTGGCATGATTAAACACCGAGGCGCATGGAGCGCTGTTATCTTCCCACCAAAGTGGTACCTATTTATCTACTTGCTATTTCTTGCTTTCGAACTGCTAGGTTGGCAGGAGCTGATGCCAGAGATGGGAGCTCACTTTGTCACGCGGCACACTCGGGTCTCAAACTGCCGAGCTTCAGACCTGCCAGTCTGCAGCTTCAGCATCTTAACCTCTGAGCCACGGTGACCCCTGTAGTTATGGTAGCATGTAGCATCTACTAAAAAAAATTATAATGCAAAATTTGCTTTTTGAAAGTTAAATGCCATGCAGCTTCCTATTTTATGTAATAACTTTTATTATACAGAAGTTTTTCTTAATACACAAATGTTTAACAATTATTTTTCAGCTGTTATTTCGTTTTTTAATTTGAGAACAATGAAGTCTACTTGGTATACTGTTATACTCCCATCACCTAGACAGAGATTTGAATTTGATGATTACTGCTCAGCCACAGAAGATATTGAGGGCTATTGAATGCATTCCAACTCTGTAGAGCCTGTTTACTTTGGGAGATTATACTGGAGTATCCTATTTTTCTGGCATAACCTGCCTGATACATGCATGCTAAATCTAAAGTTTAAATAAGGATTTATGCACATGGCTCTAGGTATATTCAGTCCTTTTCATGTATGCTGTCCAATATAGAGATGTCAAGCTAGGGGTGTGCATTTGGCTAAATCCAAGCCAGAAAAAGTCTGAAAAATTACTTATCTGTATTTTCCAGTTATTCTTTCAGCTGGATATAGTTCTGGCTAATTTTTGGGCTATCCAAAATGGTTGATCCCTGAAAATATTGGGAATTTTCAAGACCATCGGATAGTCAGACTTAAAGGCATTTAAAGAGATTGTGGTCCCTTTTAATGCCTTCTCCAAGCTGTGCAACTCCACGGGAATGAACTCCAAAGACATTTAAAGGGCTCACAGTCCCTTTAAATGCCTTCCAGGTGAACTTGCTACTTGGAGGTGTTTAACGGGAGTGCAAACCCTTTAAACACCTTCAGACTCCTGTCCTGCTGAAGAGTCGCATGGCTTGGAGAAGGTATTTGAAGGGACTGTGAGCTCTTTAAACGCCTTTTTCCCTTCTATTGAAAGTAATGGAGGATGGGAGCACCTTCTTTGGGGGCCCATAGAATTGGACCTCCTTGTCCAATCTTTTTTAAACTGGGGGTGGGTGGGTTTGAGGAGATGTACTAGCAGCTATGTTGCAAATATGGTGCCTCTTCCTCAAAAAAACAGCCATTCCAGAACCCCAGATACCCCTGGATTGATTCTCCATTATACCATGCTAGCCTGATACCTGTGCTTCGCTACGGTATTTAAGTTCCATAAATCCAGTTATTATACTGATGATGTGAAGTTTGAAAGGTAACATTTGTTGTAGGAAGATTGTAGTGTAAAGGATGAAGTGACACATACATACTGTTTTTTTTCCCTCTACTGAAGGACCTCTCTGTAGACCACTGTGGTGGTTCTGCCATCAGGTGCTAGGATCACCATGCTGCTTGGTGAGCTCACTCTGGAGCAGGCTCCTAGAAAGGTCCTTTACTATCTCCCAATGAACATTCATAAACTCAGTTGCCATGCTGGCTGTTATGAGAAATGTCTACTCAGGAGTCTTGAATCGCTGATTTCTGTAACTGTCCTCAACTGTCTGCAGTCTCTTTTAACTGTGTTTTTGCCTCAGAATATTGAGATCCACAGCTTGAGCAATCAGAGGAAGGTGGGTGCAAGCAGGCAGGTTTTACCTCAGAACTCTGAGCTACACAGTGGACCAATCGGGGAGGGGGGGAAGGAGGTAGCAGCATGACAGGCACATGAAAAACAATTGGAGGAACACATTTTGCCCCTTTTTACCCCCTTAGGGATCGGTTTCTCAGAAATCATAGTGGGGGTTGACATCATGGTAGGAATGCACTCCCCTTATTTTGGGTTTCTTGGTGCAGGGGCTTGGGTGTGTGTGCAGGGCATACTTTTTTCTTTTTACAAAAATGCTTCTCATTTATGTTACATTTAAGAAGTGGGACATAACTATGTATTCAAAACAACATCCGAGCAATCAGATATTAAGCAAGTTCATATGAACCAATTTTCTAGAACCCACATTGTGAGAAGTTAAATAACCTAATACAGGAAACCACTTTTCTACAAATTTGGGGTATATTTCCATAGTGGGTGGGAGTGTGGCTAAGCTGGGCCAGCAGCATCGCTAAGGCGATCCTGCTGGGGTGGCCTCACTTATGGATTAAGGTACCTTGGCTCTAGTCCTACACCTGACAAACACCCACCTGTCTGGTGTAAGGGGGGGAGATTGTATGAATTCGTGCTATTATGCCAATAAAAGTTTGTTATTGTGATTGTTTGGAAGCAAGAAGTATAGCAGTAATGGCCTCTGTGTTGTTTGTAGCCAATAGCCATTCTTCGTGTGTGCTTTCAGGAAGAACATTGAACTTAATTTGCCACATTGTCACCCACTCACCCAGTTTGTGAAGGTCCGCTTGGAGCTTTTCACCATCCTGAATCATTGGGTGTCATCTGCAAACTTGCCCACATCACTATTCACCTCTAGTTCCAGGTCATTGATGAATAAATTTAATAATACCGGCCCCAATACTGATCCTTGTGGGACCCCACTGCTTACTTCCCTCCATTATGAGAACTCCTCCATTATGAGAACTGTCCATTGATTTGCTTCCTGTCATTTAACCAGTTTTGAATACATAAGAGAATCCCTCCTCTTACCCCATGACTGCTAAGTTTGGTGAGGTACCTTGTCAAAAGCCTTTTGAATGTCTAGGTATATAGTGTCTGCTGGTTCAGCGTTGTCGGCATGCTTCTTCGCTTTCTTAAAGTACTCCAAAAGGTTGATGAGGCAGGACTTCCCTTTACAGAAGCCAAGCTGATTTTCCCTCAGCAGGCTTTGTCCCTCTTATGTGCCTAACCATTCTATCTTTGATTACAGTTTCTACTAATTTGCCTGGGACAGATGTTAGGCTGACAGGCCTATATTTTCCTGGTTCCTCCTTGGATCCCTTTTTTAAAATTGGTGTTGCATTTGCTACTTTAGAGTCTTCTGTTACAGTGACAGAATTTAGTGATAGGTTACATATACAGGTTAGTAGATCAAGGATCTCACATCTGAGTTTCTTAAGAACTCTCAGGTGTATGCCATCAGGACCTGGAGACTTAATATTTTTTAATTTCCCCAGTAAGTCTAGAATTTTATCTCTGGTCACCTTAATTTGGCTCAGGTCTTCAGACTCCCTTCCTGAAAATGGGCTGTGGCATGGGTAACACTGTATTCTACAGTGAACACAAGCAAAAAAGTCATTGAGCTTCTGTGCCATCTCCCCATCTTTTTTTAGCCAATCCCTTTATTCCTTTGTCATCTAAAGGCCCCACTGCTTCTCTGGCTGGCTTCCTGCTCCAGATATATTTTATGAAAAGTTTATTGTTTGTCTTGATGCTTTTAGCACCTGTCAAAATCTCTTTTTGCATGCCTAAATATGGTCTTACATTTCTTTTGCCAGAGTCTGTGGTCCCTCCTGTTGAATTCATTGGGGCAGACCTGCCACTTTTTAAAAGAAGCCTCTTTACTTTTTATAGCTTCCTTGACTTGCATTGTTAACCAGGCCTTCTTTTTGACTTGGCACTGCCTTTCCTAACCTGCGGAATGCGTCCTATTTGGGCTTCAATTAGTGTGGTTTTAAATAAATTCCAAGCATCGTCTAGGGATTTGACTCTCTTGTGTTTCCCCTTCAGCTTTTTACTATTTTTACTATTTTCCTCATTTGTATAAGGTTTCCTCTTTGGAAATGAAATGTTGCCATTTTGGAATTTAAGAGTAACTTTTCATTGACCTGAATGCTGACTTTAATAGCATTGTGGTCACTATTCCCAATTGGTGTAACAACTTCTATATCTCTCACCAGGTCTTGAGACCTGCTCAGAACTAAGTCCAAGATCACTACCCCTCTGGTTGGCTCTGTGACCAACTGTTCCAGTGCACCGTCATTTATGAGGTCTAGAAATCTCATTTCTACAGCATGACTCAAGCACACATTTATCCAGTCAATGTGTGGGTAGTTGAACTCTTCCAGTATAATAACATTATCTGCTTTAGTCATCTCCCTTATTTCCTTTTCCATCTCAAGATCAATCTTAAGTATTTGATCAGGTGGACGATAGT